ATCTTTGGACTGGGCCACATTCTTTAGGAACTGGTCTGACCTATAATTAAGAGTTTTTTATAGTACAGGTAAAGTTAGCACAGAATAGAAAGGTATTCGTATTTAAGTCAGTCATTAGGTGTTGGGTATGCATAAGTTTTAGAAGTTATTATTAGGATTTTATGATGTTAAAACTCTTGTATTGCTTTTGAGGAACATAAACCAAGCATAAGGAACGGTGAGATAATTTTGGGATTATCCTTCCTCATGCTTGGGGAAAACGCCTGGTGGGCGGGGATGCCCCCCCCACCTGGCTTTGTGTTCATGTAAACTCTTGTGATTTGATTAAGATCCTCCTTTCTCATTCTAAGGAAAACGCCTGGTGGGTGAGGATGCCCTCCACCCACCTGGCTTTGTGTTCATGTAAACTCTTGTGATTTGATTGGGGTTGCCCTTCCTCATTCCTAAGGAAACGCCTGGTGGGTGGGGGACGTCCCTCACCTACCTGGCTTTGTGCCCACGTGAAAGTCTTGTGACTTGACATGTGAAAATTTGGGATAAAAGACTCACGTTTGTTCCCAAGAAACGGCTTCTGCTCATTTCACTGAACAGTTGTCCACTTTCTTTCTTCCTCTTTATATCTATGCCTCCACCTTGCTTTTTAAATATCTATCCCTACTACAGAATTGGCTTCTGCACTAGACAAGAGTCCAGTGTCTTTCTTCCCTTCTATTTCTCCAGAATAGTCGCCGACGCTGCCCCACCTTCCAGGGACCCTCTAAATCTCTTTTGGGGGGCTGGCTCCCCATACATGAGAGAGCAAGGAAGGCAGGCAGGACTAGCGCTTGACCACCAACCACCTGTGGGCAAGGGAGGTGACAGACATCCTCACCTGGTGCTGGAGGCTTTTACTCAGCAGCTGGTGCTCCCGGGAGGCAGGGTCCATGAGCGCGGCCTCAAAGGCCTCATGAGTGACTCTGAAGGCAACAGAGTAGGTCACGTGACGAGGTCCTGGGGTGGAGGGACTGAGTCCTGCAATGAGTCAG